ATTACAACAACTCTTGCTGATCTTGCGGGGACTGACTCATGGTATACGTTTGAACTAGTACAAATCGAGACTCAATTCCTCAACAAAGACGTGTCCGATTGGTTAAGCTGCAACAATTATCAAGCCGCAATTACAAACATTGAATTATTCAACGTCATCAATGATAGCGCGGAGAAGGCTGTGAAGCTGAGCTCGGATTTTCTGTCAGCATCAAAAACTGAAGAACATTATCAAGATGTGCTTCAAGTTGTGGAGCACGAACATCGCATACAGTCTAATCTGCGCAAACGCAAGTCAACTTACGAGGACAATGGTGGGCATTGGTGACATTGTGTACAGCGTAAATATAAATTACTCTCAGCAATATAATTAAAACATAGTAAATAAAGTAAACAATATTGTAATGTATGCCCTGGTAATAGCTCGATCGCTACCGTACTTGTAATAATATAATGAACAAACCATAATGATAAAACAGTTCTTATGCATAATGTATTCAATATTGTACTATATGTACATCCTAGTAATATTTCGCTATGGCAAAACGCAAATCTTGCGTGGGATACCTAGATTATGTCCAAATGTTATATAAATTTGTAAAATATCTATGTTCATCAATACAAAAAAAAAAAGAAATAGGGATAGATACCTTAGATTAAAATTAAAAAAAAGGGGCAAAATGATGAACCCTACCACTCATTTGACCATTCCATTAATAAGTCTACATTTTGTTGAAGTTCAATAATGTCACTATCGTTATTTATTGCTTTAATGATTTTCGTGTCGTCCGTCAGCAAATAGTTTACAACTTGATTTTATTTTGTTGGAGATATCATTCATATATACTACAAATAACAGTGGTCCTTGTGGTGGTCTACTTATGACCTCTTCCCATTCTGATTTATTATTTCTTATCATCACTATTTGAAGTCTATTCTTTAAAAATCTCTGGCACCAGTCTGATCTTGCTTTAAAACCAAGAGCATTCAGTTTTAACAATAATCTTTCGTTATCAACTAAATTAAACGCTTTGGCTAAGTCTATAAACAAAACTATTACATATACACCATTATCAATTAAACTTGTGATAAAATCTAAAGAGACCAATACACAACTTTTATTATTAACAAATCCATGTTGGTTTTTATTGATTAAATTTATTTTCTACTAAACATTTCATCATTTTATCTTTATTTATCTTTTTTATGACTTTACAAACTACAGATGTTAAAGATACAGGTCAATAGTTGCATTAAATAATAATTTATTAAACAATAAAGTTAGTGGTTTAGCTGAAGTGGAACCGCACTCTTTCAGAACTTTTGGATGAACTCTATCCACTCAAACTACTTTTTTAATGTCCAGTTTGTTTAAGTTTCAAAAAACACCTTTTACTTTGACCAAATTTTAACATTTTACATACCCCACGGATCATATTTTATGATTTTTACAGGCTAATATCTGCCATTTTATTTTTGCTCTGTATTTTAAAAAAATTCTAGTAGGGGCCCTCCACCAACCATTTAGCTATATGTTTGTAAAATTTAAAGTTTTTATCTCAAGTACTACTCTAGTTATTTATGTTCTTGTGACTGCATGTTTTTTGCTTTTTTTGCTGACTCAGCATTTTTCTGTGACAAATAAGTAAAAAATGATGTTTTTTATATTCAGTTTTTAAACTGCTATTGAAAAATGTTTATCATTTTAAGAAAAATACCATATTTTGAAAAATAAAAAATATAGGGTAGTACCACCTTAAGTATTCTTCTACAACAAAGGCATTAAAATCTGGATTTCTACAGATTTTTGTGTTTGTTTTTTTTTTCATTTATTTATTTAGGTATCCCAAAAAGTTTTTACGGTCTTATCACAAAGTACCGCAGATATCTGTTATTGGGGCAGATGAAGTTTGTGGTTTATTGAATATTGATACAAAATATCCATTCAATGTACTTGTAATTACTTTTAAATTAGTTTCGATACTACCATTTTTTAGTTGGATTGCTTTTATATTGTCTTTGACTTTACTTTTATTGTTAATATATAAACTTTCTTTGGGTTGAACTTTGAATTTAAAGCAAGATCAGATTCAAAACCTTTTATTCTTTGATTCACTTTTTTTTTGATAACTTGTATTTTTCTCTTCAACTCTTTGTATTTTGCAAGTAAACGATCGTCTTTGAACTTCTGCCTTTGACATTTGAACCAAAAATAAATAAAAAGGTTTTTCTTTAATTTTGACAACGCTTTTAATTCTTTATTAATCCAGAGATCCAGTGTGTGCTTGAATACTTTTCGGTTTTATGGTTGGTATAAAAAATTTACATCCTTCTTCACAAAAGCTTAGCCATTTTTCGTAACATTTGTTTATTTCCAAGCCTTTGAATTCATCGTTTCAGTTTAAGATTTTAAAATAATTATTTAATTCGTTAAATTTCCTAAACTAAACTTGTCTTTTTTAAATACAATGTTTTCAATATACTTTTCATGACAGTAGTTAAATTTAATGATGCGATGACCGTGGTTAATCCCTTCCAATGGCGGAAGGTGTATCAGTTTATAAACTCTTTTTTTATTCTCAGCTATAAACAAATCCAGTACATTCGTTTTATTTCCAATGTTATTTTGAAACGTTAGCTTAATTACATTCTGATGCATGAAGTAATTATTTAAACATTCTAAAAAAATTTTGGCTGGTCTATTAGTCTCACTAGTTAGTATGCCATAGTAATCTTCTGTCCACTTGATTGTGTTGAAATTAAAATTCCCACAAATAAGGATTTCAGTTTATTTATCTAATAAATTCATTGAATGAGCAAAATTAATAGACTTTGTAAAAATAAATTCCTCTTCTCTTTTTTTACTTTTTACGGTTAAATATACGCTTCCGCTATTTGCAATGTCATTGGATTGACATGTCATTGTTATGTCGATACAAATAACAAAATCATAATAAAATATCATTGTTAAGAATAAATATAAATAATTATTTGACAAGGAAGGTGTCACTCATGCAGAAGTCTGATCAAAGGAGTGACATCATCAACAACATCATCAACAACAACAACAACAACATCAACAACAACAACAACAACAACAACAACAACAACAACAACAACAACAACAACAACAACAACAACAACAACAACAACAACAGCAACAACAACAACATCAACAATAATAGTAATAATAATAACAACAAGAACAAAACAACTGATAACCTTCTAGATAGCGGACGACCTTCAAAACTGTGTATTAAAGTTTCTTGATTTTAACTTTGAAAAATTCAATTATTGTTAAACTTAAAATGAGATATAAAAAGTTTGTTTACTAAAGTCTCCAAAACCATGCTAATTATAGAGCGAAGACTGATGGAACGATAATTAGAGAGAATATTCTACAGAGTTTATAACCATTATTAAAGATATTTGTTTATAACCTCACCTAAGGGTTACCTCAGATGTCCTTTTCCAACAGGCAGGAAGTCAAAAATCAGTTATACACTTACTAAATAAATTTATTAAAGAGGGTTCTAGATAATACTTCATTATAATATATTCATTCAATGGACCACAAACTGTAGAAGAGTTTAAGAGAAAAGTAACGTTAGCAATCGGAGCCAGAGTGGTTTAGATGTCTAACAATGAACCTGTTTCTTTGTGATGACAAAAAGTGGTAATTATATTCGAAAGATTAATGATAAATTTAAATTTCTTCGCGTATTTTTTGCATAGTTCTGTCCTAACATTGGGAATAGCGGGAATGGTAAGTCTAACATTTCATCTCTAATAAATGTTTATGAGTAAGATCATAAACATTTATTAGAGATAATATGTTGACTTACCATTGTTAAAGGTAAGTCTAACATTTTCCAAAAGTCTTTAGAATCTAACATTTGAGATAAATTTCAAGATTTAGTAAAGTAAGAACATCAAAGCTAGGCGTCAGACTTAATTTGATTTTTTGCAATACTAAAAAGATGTTTTTTCTTTAGAGAGTTGATTTAGGAAAAAAGATAAATAAAATGATTACCGATAAAAATAGATAGGGTGTGTCTGCAGAATAAACTGCATGGCTCAAACCACCCAAAAAAGATAAAACAGAAACTGCGCAAAAGTTTTGTTTACAGAGAAGATGCAAGTTAAATAAAGTGAAGTGGTTAGAACTGTAAGGAAAACAAGTCACATCTGAGTTAAAGATTGGAACGACAAAAGTTCAGAGCTTTTGTGCTAGTAGGGTCAGCGGTACTAGAACCACCGTTGCAAGTATATGTATACGTAAAAACAACATTATTCGCCAAGGCCAATCATGTGATCATTAGAGTCTTTGCGAATCAAATGATAATTTCCATTAACACCGAAATTCATAGATGAAACAGGTTAATCTCATAAAGATCAAAAACATGCGAGAAAAAAAGGTTTGGTAAAAAAAGCCAGTGTTTAAAAGTACACAGTTCTAATATTTTTGATCAGTTTATTTAATGCAAATTAAGGAAAACAATTTTTGGAATTGTTTTTAGTGGTTTCACGGCCGATTCCTTTTTTTTTTTTTTTTTTTTTTTTGATGAAAAATATGACATTATTGCATAAACGATAATTGATATTAAAACAGTTAAACGCATTTTAAAATCTTTAAAAAAAAAGTTATTAATTAAATGATAAAAATCCTCTTGGGAAATTAACTGACTGTAGTCAATTAATTTCCTAAAACGATCTCCTCCATGTAACACAATTTATTCAATATGTACCCATCGTCGTATTCTACAGGTCTAAATTAAGCATTATTGTTAAAAACAATATGTCTCCAGAATAAAAAATATTATATACTTTGATATCTTGAACTTTATTTGATAGTTTGAAAATAAACGTTTTGAAAAGATTTGAATCATTAAATTTTATTAATTTGTAATAAGAAGTAAAACGACTTTAAATTTTTACTGATGATTAACATTTAAATTCTTTTAAAGTTAATAACCAATCAGATTCTGTGTAGCGGGCCGTTCAAACTTTTATAAATAATAATCCGTTAGAAATTCAAACGGCAATATTTCTTTCTTGAAGTTGTGTCACTTTCAAAACAATATTTTGGTAGTTATTTCAAAAAAACATTATAACATGGCTGGTGTTCAACGAAGAATAATGGTACGAATTTGTAATTTATAGTGTAACATAACTATTTTTTCAAATTTTAGTTTAAGACTAATTTATAGCATAAACATAACTACTTTAAAATCTCTTATAATTATTAATATTTTTGAAATACTATGTAATTAATACTTAGTATTTCAAAAATATTTAGTCTTGCTGCATATTGATTAAAACAGTTTTTTAAAACACAATTATTTTAGATATCTCGAAATGAGGAAAATCTTAACAATAAAGGAATTGGATCCAAAAATGTCCTTGGCGGTAAAATTTCAAACTCCAGAACCGTACTCTCAAATATCTCAAATATACAAAGAAGACCTCAAGTTGTTGGAAAAATAAAAGTAACCGTTATTATAATCATTACAAACTTAAAAATTAACTTAAGCAATGATTTGGTTTCTGAATTTTAATTTAATTGTAAATGGGATATATATGTCCCCTAAATCTACTAACTTAATCTTTAAATTGATGTCTCTAATCAATGAAAAGTTATTTTTGCAGTTATGGATGCTAGTTTCCCTAAGTTTTATTTATAATTTGTTTTTATTTATTTTTCTTTTTTTCATATTTTTCTTTTGCTTATTTTTCTTTTTCTTTTCTATTTATCTAAATACCTAACTTTTATACTCCTTTTTTATCAGAGTTTTCCTAATTGTTAATAATTTGCTTTTATCACTGCATAAACATACTTATGGTTGCAGTTTTCTCAATGTTACATCTCAAACATCAGTAATTTTTTTACGTCCCAATAATATGTGTGCGTGAGTTATATATATATATATATATATATATATATATATATATATATATATATATATATATATATATATATATATATATATATATATATATATATGTATATGTATATATGTATACGCATATATATATATATATATATATATATATATATATATATATATATATATATATATATATATATATATATATATATATATATATATATATATATATATATATATATATATATATATATATATATATATATATATATATATATATATATATATATATATATATATATATATATGGTAATCCTACAGTTAAGTGGCCTAAAATAATTTAATTTTTTGTGAAAAAACAAAGAAGAGTGTAATAATGTAATCATAATAATAGTAATAAACAATAATAACTATCTATAATGATTATTTGTATATTTATGATAGTAATAGTTATTAATAATCATAAAAATATTTAAATTAATTATAATATTTATGATAAATGTTTTATGATTTTTATTTTTTTAGTCTTTTTCAGTACTAAATTTGAATTTGTAATCTTTTCTTTTTACTAATAGGTAAAATTATTTTCAAATAAAAAAATTAAAATTATTTTCAAATAAAATGTTAACCCCCAACTTTAATGTTTTTATATATTTATATATATATATATATATATATATATATATATATATATATATATATATATATATATATATATATATATATATATATATATATATATATTCTAACTATATTCTAGGAATTAAACTTGAAAATAAAATTAAATTAGACAAATCAACAATAAGTGAAGCATATAAAAGTCTAATCTGGGATTGTTTTGATATGAATAAAAGTAAATGTTCAAACAGTTTGCAAAACTTTGCAAAATAAAAATATTAAAAGGAACATTTGTTAGAAAATTTTTTTTACTTACATTTCTTGATTTTAAACATTTTTGCTGTATAGTTTGGATAATAAGTCATATAATTGCTGTTCTAAATTATAAAACAACACTTAAAAAGTAAGGAGCCCAGAGAAGAAATTGTTTGTCTTCAGAAAATTTTTAAAAATTTTCATTACTATTTGGACAAATGCAGTATTTCTTTTCTTGCATGTGTCAGATTTTGTTAACTTTCCCATAGATAAGACTTATTCTCAATTTCCCAGATAAACATGTTAATCCTTTTTTAAACATTTTAATCATTTTGTGCGTGGGTGTGTTATATTTTAGTTTTTATACATTAAAGTGTATTCTTAAATATGATAATTGGGATTGCTTGTGGGTTGCAATAATTTGAATTGGTCATTCAAATTATTCCAATTTTTTTTGTTTCTATATGTATGAATAGCAACATTTTAACTGAATCTCTTAATGTGTTCTTGGATTATCTTTTATTACTGACCTCTCCTGAAAAACAAATGTCAAAATCTGTTTTTATCCTTTATAAATTCCTTGTTTATTTATGTATAGAATGCAGTTGTCATATCTGGGCTAGGTTTTTTAAAAAATTTAATTTCCTTTTCATTTAAGACAATGTGTAAAAACGCTTTATTAACACATTTGAGCCTATTCCAATCCTAACCTCACTCTCAATGTCTAAAAAAATTTTTTTTTGACAAAAAACACTGGTGAAGGATTTATTATAAATCAAATGGATTAAAAACTACTGAAGTTGTTTTTAATCCATGTCAACTAAAGTGTAGAAAATACCCAAAGTTATATTGTTTTAAGTAAAAAAATTTGTTTATAAAATTATTTATAAATAAAATTGAATGTATTAGAGTTAATTAATAGTTATTTTTTTTTTTTAATTTAACATTTTTTCTATTTAGAAAGAAGATGGAGTCGCACTAGAGGAAAAGGCTCCTTTAAATAAAGGTTTAGGGAGAATGGTTTCACAATCTAATCTTATTAGTGATGTTCAGCTAAAAACTACAAAAATCATTCCTGCTTACCAAGATATTGCTGATGTTGAAGTTCCGATAAATGCTATGATAAACTCCTTTACAGAGTTGGAGGTAGATGATATTGATCTTGAGGACTTAGGAAATCCTACTCTTTGTGCTGAATATGTAAAAGATATATACAAGTATATGAATAAACTAGAAGTATGTTCCATCTTTTTGAAGTTTTATATTTTATTCCCAGACTTTCTTGAATTTTATTTATGATTAAAAAAATTTTTTTTAAGCGAAGATTAGTGCCCAGTGACTATATGGCTCATCAAGCTGAAATAAATTTTAAAATGAGAAGCATATTGGTTGACTGGCTCATTCAGGTGCAATCAAGATTTAATCTTTTGCAAGAAACTTTATACCTTACTATCTATATTATAGATAGATATCTAAGTGTATGTTTTTAATCTTTTTATTTAATTATTTCATTTAACTAGTTTAAATTCAGTTTCTCATTTAATATTTGCAACTATTAATTAGTTTTGTCATACTCTGATCTGATACTGCATGATAATTTTAATTCAAATTTTTATATGGCTGAGACTTTTTTTTAATTTTTATATTAAAATTTTAAAAATCATCTCATACTCATCTGAAGTAAATAAAATGTTTTATTAAAAAATTCTCTTGAAATTCCAGAAACAAAATGTTAAGCGTGCGGAACTTCAATTGGTTGGTGTGACAGCAATGTTAATTGCATCAAAATATGAAGAAATGTATGCTCCTGAAATTGGAGATTTTGTTTATATAACTGACAATGCTTATTCTAAAGAAAAAATTCGTCAGATGGAACAAAAAATGCTAAAAACTTGTGAATATGATTTCAGTAATCCATTATGTTTGCATTTTCTGCGAAGAAATTCAAAAGCTGGAGCTGTAAGTATTTTTAATATTTGTGTTTTTAAAGTAAAATAAATATCTTACCTATATTAAATCTCAATTCCTTTAATACACGATTTTGTTTATACATTTTCAGGTTTAAATTAATATTTTCATGTAGGTCGATGCACAAAAACATACTTTAGCTAAATATCTAATGGAGTTAACACTTGTGGAATATGAGTTTATTACTAAACTACCCTCTGAAATTGCAGCTGCAGCATTATATTTAGCATTAAAGCTAATAGATGATTCAAATTGGGTAAAATTAATTGTTTTATTAATACGATTATTAAAAGTTGTTCAATTGGTTAAAAAAACTAACTTTGTTTACTTCTAGACACCAACATTAGCGCATTACAGTGGTTATACAGAGGATGAAATATTATCTACTGTTAGTAAACTTTCGATTTTAACTCTTTCTATGGACAATTCCAAATATCAAGCCGTTAAAAATAAATACTCTGCCAGTAAATTCTTACGTATTAGTCATATACCTCAGCTTAAAGGACACATTCTGAGTAAATTTGCGGAAAGAAATTAGGTTTATACATATTAATAATCTATTTCCTTGTAAATATTAAAGGCCCGTGGTGCTGTTTTAATTTTTTGGTTTTGTAAATAAATTAATGCTGCTAACCGAATTTTTAAGTTATCTTTTCTTTGTCGCTCGAAAAATAATTTTTGATTTTATTTCAAAACGTATTTAATGACTCTTTTTGTATACCATAAGTATATTTTATTTGAGCTATTGTAACATCATTAGATACTATTGATGAGATTTATTTTGTAAGTAGTTTTTCAGAAAAGATATTTTACTGAGTTTTTATTCGTTTGTCATCTACATTCTTTTATGCCAGCAGTTTTTAATGTTTTGTGTTTAATAATTATTTAACGGTCGTTTTCCTGCCTTTGTCGATACTTGAATTAAGAAGTGACTTTAGCAACGGAAGCCAGAGTGATTTGGATGTCTAGTAATGGGTTACCTTTTTCTTTTTAAAATTTTTTAAGAATCTAAACGGTCTTATCACAGAGCACCACGGAAGAGCATTTAAAAGGAAGTTCATGCCTCCTTCCTTACTAATGTTATAAAACTTGTTCAGAGGCGGCTTTGAATAACAGATCTGAGACGAGCGCGCTACCTGCGCTACGGCTGCTACTAAGCCTGTTTTACTGGAATATTAAGAGTCAATTAAAGGATAAGCTCTGTCTGACCTTTTTACCTTTCTTTAGGAGAGGTAACGAGAGAAGTTGCTTGCACCTTATTGCATTGATTTCTTGCTATAATAAAAAGTTTCTTCTCAAGAGAGTTGTTCTTGTAATGAACAAAATAAAATCAGATTAAGGGGCTGCACAGGAAGGTGAAAACCATGAAGTAGAATGCGATTTGACTTGAAAAGTGACACAAAGGGATCAAAAAGCTTCTATTCCTGCCTGGATCCAGGAAATTACGTACGAGGCGCAATAAAATTATCAGCAGAGAGGCAAAAGTCATCAGCTCACGGACTGTCACCAGGAAAATTGTTTGAAGATTCCCAAACAGCTTTAGGGTAGTAGTAAGTAGTGCGATGATAAGGTAAGACCAAAGACGTACGAGATAAAAGTTTTCCATTTACATTGTATGGTGGCAACCATCCAATGTAAGTGTAAAATTTTTATCTCGTACATCACATCAATACCTGGTGTATTGATGCGTAAGTATACTTACGTTAAGCATGAGACTATTGAGTCTTTGTGAATCAAAGGATATAAGCCATTGATACTGAAGTTCAGAAAAAAACAAAAAAACAGCCGAATTCAAAGACCACGAAAAAAGGATATTTTGAAACAGCTAGATTGTGATGATAGTTTTTTATGTTAAATAATTTCGAGTAATTGGGAATAAGGTGGTACACCACTAAAAAAATAGTGATTTTGGAGTAAAATTTCAAAACTTAGTTTTTGGACTCGTTTTTTTCCAAACTTTATCCTTTTTCATTTGATATAACCATCTTATATTGTTCAATTACATAAAAGACTTTAAAAATGCATTTTTCTAAAGTTGTTGAAAATTTTGACCATAGCAACGCCTTAGCAACAGAATAAAAAACCCTAATTCAATCCCTAAAATCTATGCTTAAGCTTGACTATGCTAGGCTTCTTTTTTATGGAATATGCCTAGGCTATGCTAGGGTTCTTTTTTATATTCGTAAAGTTTTGAACTATACTTTAAAGGCACATTTGTTTTGTGACAATTTAAATAGTAGTTGTTGTAACTTTTACATTGTAATATCAATTTACTTTGATATTTACTTTGTCTGAGATATATTTGTTAATATGATTTAATAACTTTAGCTTTATATTTAGTGTATATAAAAATGAGTTCAGGAGGAAAAGAAAACCTACATCAAAAATATAAAGTTAGCAACAAAAAAAACTTTTCTAGAAAAAAGTATAGAAAATGGAACTGTGTTATACCAAATAGAGTATCTTGTAAGACCTCAAATTTTATTCAACCCTCTTGTTCTAGCGAACGAAAGTTATCTTCTTCCAACATTAAAAACAATAATTCCAATGCTTCAGATTATTTCATCTTTATTAATTTTCCTGTGTTAGAAAATATTGTTCAGTCTCTTTCATGTCCAGATTGTTTCTGCAACATTAAGCTTATTGGTTATCCTAATAAAAGAAAAGGACTTTCACATAATTTGTTACTACAATGTTGCAATGAAAAATGTACTTTTCTTAAACATTACTATACCTCTCCAGAAATTAAAAAACAAACAAAAATTCAAGGAAACAATTTAAAGGAGATAAACACTCGAGCTGTTATTGCTTTTCGAGAAATTGGCTGCGGATGTGCTACAATGAAGACATTCATGTCAGTTATGAACATTCATTGTTTAACTGAAAATGCATTTCACAAGATAGACTTGCAGGTTAAAAATGCCTATAAAAAAACTGCAACAACTAGCATGAAAAAGGCAGCTATAGAAGCTCCTCATACTGAAATTGTCAATAATATTCGTTGTACTCAAGTTTCTATTGATGGCTCATGGCAACAACGTGGTTATTCTTCTTTGCATGTTGTTGTTACAGCCATAACAGGTGATAAATGTGTTGATGTTGAAGTCAAGTCGAGACATTGTTATGGTTGCAAAATGTGGTTAAGTAAAGAAAATACATTAGAGCATGAGCAGTGGAAGTTAGACCACAATTGTCAAATAAACCATGAAGGGTCTTCAGGATCCATGGAATCATCAGGTGCTGTGGACATATTTCATCGCTCTATATCAAATCGAAACTTGATTTATAAAGAGTACCTTGGAGATGGCGATACAAGCTCATTTTTAGATGTTGTAAAATCACAACCTTACATTGAACAAGGAATAATTCCAATAAAACTTGAGTGTATCGAGCATGTTCAAAAGCGTATGGGTACCCGATTACGGAGTTTAGTAAAATTACATAGTGGCACTAAAACACCATTGTCTGGTAGAAATAAACTGACAGATATGATAATAAATTTGATGCAAAACTACTATGGCATTGCTATTAGAAGGAACACTACTAATATTTATGCTATGAAGAAGTCTATATATGCTTTTCTTTTCCACTTTACCAATATTCTGAATCAAGATGAGCGTCATCAGTTTTGTCCTCGTGATTCTGAAAGCTGGTGCAGGTATTGGAGTAAAACAAAGCAGTATATACCATCAAATTCAATTCCAGTCTGGATTAAAAACCTGCTAATAACAATTTTTAGAAGCTTACAAGACGATCAACTGCTATCTAAATGCCTTCATGGTAAGATACGAAATCCTAATGAGTCCTTGAATGCCCTCATATGGTCTAGAGTTCCCAAAAACACTTTTGTCAGTAGAGAAAAAGTTGAAATGGGAACTTACTCTGCTGTTATTCATTTTAATGATGGTAGTAAAGGTATTTTAGATGTTTTAAAAGAGTTTAATTTGACTGGGTATATAACAGTAATGACATCTGTTCAGTTTGACAATTCTTGCGTGAATCAAATGAAACGAAAGTCGACACAAAAGTGTATAAAGCAAAGAAAAAAGTTAAGATCAATAGCCAAAGGGTTCAGCGATAAACAAAATTCAAATGAAACTAATCAGTCATATGCTTCTGGTGGACATTAACCAAGATTTTACTGAAAAATAATTTAAATGTGTTTTTTACAGTTTTTCATTTTTGTAATACTAGGATAACTTTGAAACGTAATATCTTTGTATTGGCTAATGATTTTTGCTTGAAATTTTCAAGGTATACTCAATATACTCAAGAAATTCGGTTAACACATGGGATTTAAAAAATTCTTCTTAAATATTTTTAAATAAAGAAATTAGTTCACATGTTAAGTCAAATTACTTAGAATTTCAAGCATATTTTCAATAATTCGTAATAAAACTTATAATATGTCCTTAAATTAAAAATCCATCAGTCAACCGGAATAAAACATTATCATGCAACAATATACTAAGTTTGAACTAGAGAAAATGTATATAACGGAAGATATCACGTCACAAAGTTATTCAATTGTATGCATTTTTTAAGCAGTTTTTCCGCCATTATGGATGTAAAAAAAACTTTTAGAAAAAAATTTCATTTCAAATATTTTTTTTTATAAATTTATAATCAGAAAAATATTAGTTTTTGGTTTTATTCCAATTTTAAATTGAAAAAGTGCTTTTTAGTGGTGTACCACCTTAATCATGACTTCATTCATGACATTCATAGATAAAGCATTCTAAGCAATGACAGTTGTCTCAGTCCAGCTATATATATATATATATATATATATAAATATATATATATATATATATATATATATATATATATATATATATATATATATATATATATATATATATATATATATATATATATATATATATATATATATATATATACATATATATATATATATATATATTTTTTTTTTTCGTATTACATAATAAAATCCTTTACAACATTTAAAATCCGTAAACTTATAATTACAAAGTCTAGATTAAAAAAATAAAATACAAGCAAAGGTATCTGATAGAGATTCTTAGAATATTATTACCGCAACTTTTTTTTTTTTTCAACAACCTCACTTTCAACAAAACTGAAAGCAACCACTGTTAGAGTTGGAAGTTACTGGAAGAGAAAAAAAGTTTATAGAGCAAAAAAAAGTTTATTAGCAGACGACTTAAAAGATTGCAAATTATATGAATCAGGAAAACAAGATGAAGGAAGTGAATTCCAAAGAATTGATGTTCGAGAAAAAAAACTAGACTAAAATTTTTGGAGCACTTAGGAACAGTCACAGTAAAAGGATGAGATTTAATTGAATGACGAGTAACAACTCTTGAGAAGAAATTGTGGTATAAAGTGCGTCATAAGTTTCTTCTCAAAATCTAAGAGGTCAATGAAATTTGAAAGGAAATATGCAAAAACATTTTTTGAACAGAGTGATACCTCATTGAAATGCCTAACCTAAAAAAGAAGCTTCTACAACAACAGTAAATTCTTTTAAAGCTAGCTTAAATAATCTTTGTTAATGGCTGTTAAAGTATAGGTTTTAAACTTTATGCTCCGCGACAATAGTCGTTACAGCAGTTTGTATTACTATCACTATTACCAATAGTAACTTGCGGAACACCACAGGATACTTCTAACAAATTGTCTTGAAATATATCATTGTAATAGACAAATAGTTTTCGATTTGATAAATAGCTTCAAAACCGTTTTAAAAATCTGCTATTTATTCCGAAATGTTTAAGTTTATGGAGCAAAGTATCGTGATCAAACGCTATAGATATATCAATAAAAATGCCTAATGTAAATTGA